TACAGCGTCACATGGTACGATGAGAGAACGGGCTCTGAGATCACAGAGCTGGAGCAGAGCGTCATGCTCAAGAAAACACAAGTGTGGTTCTTCAACGTCACCATGCAGCAGCAAGGAAAGTACACATGTGTGGTCAGGTATGAACTTTTGAGTTTTAAAATGATTCTGTATGTTTGTCAATAAGAATCTGTCCGAAGCAATGGCTCATGGGACGCACCAAGCCACTTCACTCAGCAAACTGTTTTGCTCAAAGTAGGAATTAGAAATGTGACAAAAAACATTTTTATTTCTCAATATTTTTGGGATATTGTCATAGCGTTGTGCTGATAGACGATAGTATTGTGTAATAGTTATTATCAGCTATTATTGTTTCTTATTATAAATAGTTTTTGCTGCTTCATATTTTTGTGGAAACCTTGAAACATTTTTTTTTCATGAATTTTTTGAGGTATAGAAAGTTCAAAAGCATTTATTTAAATAATGTATTTTGTAACATTGTGAATGTCTTTACTGTCACTTTTGAACAATTTAATGCATCCTTGCTGAATATAAGCATTATAAAAAAAATAAAATAAATGACTTGCTCACCCCAAACTTTTGAATGGTATGTATAACGTTTCTACAAAAAAGTTTTCAACATTGCTAATAATCAGAAATGTTTCTCGAGCAGCAAATCAGCATATTATACTGATTTCTGAAGATCATGTGACACTGAAGACTGGAGGAATGATGCTGAAAATACAGCTGCGCATCACAGGAATAAATTACATTTTACAATATATTCACATAGAAAACTGTTAAAGGGATAGTTCACCCAAAAATTAAAATTCTGTTATTAATTACTCACCCTCATGTCGTTCCAAACCCGTAAGACCTTCGTTCATCTTCTGAACACAAATTAAGATATTTTTGATAAAATCTGAGAGCTGTCTGACCCTCTGTAGACAGCAATGCAACTGCAATGTTCCCAAGTCCAGAAACGTAGCAAGGACATCGGTAAAATAGTCCCAGAATGTAATCAGCGTAGTTTACGTTCAGTAGACTTCAGTAGTACGTAAACAGCGTTCAATAAACTGGTTAAATGTAAATTAATTGAATCTTACACTGTGGTACATGAACATGATGTTGTCATTGCGATCGTGACTACCGTATCATGAGGCTACTCCTGTTTGCATTGTGATCTAGGGCTGCACGATAAATCGAAATGGAATCGAAATCGCGATTCG